ACATAACAATCTGTAGGGTTAAAATGGGAGTCTTGCGGCCTATACCTTATTGTGGAGAAAAGGAACAGAATAAACATGCTTATGCAATTATTTGTGTTCTTGTGTCTTTGTGAACCCAATGAATTTTTGTTCTGTCATGAAGTATTACTAAATGTATTACCAAGCACTCACCTGGTGAGTTTGGGATGGCTGTGGATTTTGTGAGCCAGATGAGGGTCTGGAGTCTACCTTGTTTACAAAGTTATTACGGCACCAGCGGGCGGATCTAGCATTTTGATAGGAGGACGTTCACCTTCAAGTTTATAGTTGTAATTCAGGTTAATTAAAGAAATAGGGGAGGAGAGAAGGGTGGGGGCCCGGGAGAAGAGGAGGTGGGCTCCTGGTGGGATAAGTATGGGAGACGGGAGAGGAAAGGGCGGAAGGTGGGAGTTCTAAAAAGGTGGGAGCTGGGAGAAAAAGGGGGAAGATTACATAACAATGCTAAATATTTTACAATCAAGAAAAGGCTAAAGGGAAGAAGCCTAAAAATGGGATGGGAGTCCGGAATACAAAGTACGGGAGGTAGGAGGTTTGGATTCCGTTCAAAGAACAGTTTTCTGGGGTAAGAGGAGGAATGAATAAGGGGTGGTGGGGAACCCAAGAACCCTCTCTCCCTAGATCCGCTCCTGGTCACCTAAGCAATTAAAACAACCTTCATGTGGTTTTTTTTTTAATTTTCAGAGAGCGGTGTTTATTTCATCTGCACTATCAGCACCTTAATTGACTTCGCCTAAGTCTCTTATTTCAGTATGCTTCTCATCGGCTTGTTCAATCTTTGATTCATCGATGTGTGCAGGGTTAACAATTTCTGGCTCTTCCATGTGGTCAGAATTAACCGTGTCTGGTTCATCGATGTGAGCAGGTTTAACAATTTCTGGTTCATCCGAATGGTCAAGATTAATCGTGTCTTGCTTATTCATATAGTCACTTTTAACGTTGCCTGGCTCATTCTCGTTGATGGGGTTTGAAGAGTCTTTAGGCTTCACCTTTCCCAGCTCATTTGTCTCTTGAAATTCTTCACTGTCTTTTGGTTTAACTCGGCGTAGACAACGCCCACAATGCGCGATCAGACGAGCAATGCTGAGCTGTCCAAAATCATTCTTTGGACCAATCACATATGTCTACCGATTCTTTGACTTCCAACTTATTTCGGTCGACTTGTGGTACTGATTGTAGTCCTTGACTGGTTCGACGTTCATGTGATTTTGACAACATCCGTAGTCGTAGTCAGGATTTTTTATGCTAATTGAGGTTTTTAGTTGAATGACAAGAAAATTCCTTGCCTTGTTACCCAGCCTTGCATTGTCACGTTTGGTATTGCCTAAAAATATCTCATGTTAGGTTATCAACCACACAAAAGAAATAAATGGACGCACTTGGCGATAGCCGACATGCATCGTTTGATTTTAAAAAAAGGTAAAGGTGTAAATTTTATTTGTTCACCAACTTAGAAACTTTAAAAAACATCTCTTCCGCGAAGCTATTCCATTAAAAACATGGGAGGAGCCGGGAAAGGGGTCTTTTTTCCGCCTCCCCAATTTTCAAAGCGAAAAGCCTTGAGGACGAGGTTGTCTACAGAACACGTTTACAAGTGTTCGTGCGTCTGCGTTCCAGATCGCACTGTAATCATTGGGGAGCGTTAGTTTTTGATGGTAGGATAAACTAGAGTTCAAGGAAAAACCCCCACGGCATACCCTGCGGGTTAAGAACCTGGGTCGATCCTGGCCACTAATGCCCCAACATTGCTCTCTTTGTAAACCTTGTCTTGGCAATTACTTTTATCTCCATTTTGCACAAGAAAATAACGTCTCAGTCCCAATAAACTAAAAGAGTCACATTGAGAAATGAATAGAGAAAATCATGAACTAAGGATTAAAACACTCACCTGTAAGAAACGTTGTAAGTGCTGCCATCGTGATCGCTGATCCAATGTGAGCCAGTGAGTAACGTACCCTGCTTTCTCTTTGGCTTTTATCTGGTGCCAGTCTGTAAGCCACACCATAATGCATGGTAAAGTCAATTGACAGTCCGACAGCTACTGACGTGATAATTGACTCTAATATGTTAAGTTGCCAGCCAGCTAATACAAGAGATCCAATGGTGATCGCAATAATTCCAATAATTGTGACGATGGCATAGATGCTGATAAAGATGTTGAGTGTTGTGAGCAACATGATACTGAATGATGCGGCCACCGAAATACCCAGGGATGAATAGGTGCCACGCGAGAGGCCAATTTGAAGACCATAAAATCGGAATCCCCAACTACTCGCCCAGCCGTTTTTCAGACCAGGAGGGGCATTAGAAAACTGACCTTCAAACCAAGATATCACTTCGTCGTAGACTTTGTCTATCACCGAAAAAGCAGTTGAAAAAGGTTGGTTGGTGGAAATGACCAGTCTGAAACCCTTAATTGCTTTGCTCTTAGCATCAAACAGTAAGCCTGATTCATTACCTCGCGATGCAAATTCAAGAAGACATCTCTCGGTGACATCAGCTGGAAATGGAAAGCTGTGGTTTCCGCAACATGGGTTTGGACCAGCTTTACATAAGGCAATTAAACCCTCAATCGGGCAATCCACAGTGCCCGCAGCAAATGCATCAAAAAATGATTGCTTTTCAGCAGACTTACAGACCGAAAGAATGAACTTTTGTCCTTCTTCGGAAAAGAGGTCGGCACCGAATGATTCATCAAATTCCAACGTTCCTTTGTCATCTGGGTTAAAGTAGTTGCCGTTATCTACAGGTTTAATTCCCCATATCAGCTCTACAACCATGCTTCCGCTCTGCTCGAACCTAAAGAAACTCTTGTAGTTTAAATTGTAGTTTTCTAGCATATGAGAAGAGGCAAATGTTTGGAACTCATCACTTTCTGGCAACTGAAGTCCGGGTTTGTAAAAGGTAACGCACAAGAAGCCAGCGGTTAGACCGATGAGTAAGGCTATCCAAATCCAATAAAACTTGATGACGACGAATGGTAACCAACGACCAAAAAACTTGGAACTAAATTTTTGGACCGCACTTTTGGCTGAAACCGCGAGGGAGCAAGGGAAATCAATCACTTGCAGAATGCAGGTGTTTCGGTGTTTTTTAACATCATCAGCTGTCTTGTGGTTGCTCACCGCGTTTCTTTGCTCAATCATGTCTTGGGCCACTGGCATTGCCACTTCCTCAACAGCCACCTCTGTTGATGTTTGAGATTCTGAGCTATGACCATCGTTATACTTCATGATCCACTTCTCATGCAGGGCGACACAAGCCGGAAAATATGTGATCATCAGAAGGTAGTTTGTCAAGATGGATGTGCCAGCAAATATACCAAAACACTTAATGGCGGTGATTGTGGAAGATATCCCGGCGAAAAATGCTGACGAAGTAGTCAAACTTGTAACCAGCATAGAGAGAGCAGAATAGCGTAACGAGTTAAGTGTCAACTGCATTATGTTCGCGTCGGGGTTTGCAGCTCTTGACTGTCTCCATATGTCATAGTACACAAACGCATCGTCTGCTCCAATTCCCACCAAGAATACCAGAGTTAGAATATTAAGGAAAGGGAAAAAATCCATACGAAATACAAAGTTGTAGAGAAAATAAGAAAGACCACCTGCGTAAATTACACAAGACAGGCCACAAAATGTAAGTATGAATGATCCAAGGAATGTCCACATCACGCCAAAGACAACGATCAAAGCCAGAGCTGGGAAGATGATCTGCACTAAAAGCTCGTCACTGAATTTCTTGTACTTGTATCCCCAAAACCTGAAGGTCACCAATTCTACTCCTTGACTTAGATGTGTGTCATCCTTTAGTCTATCGTACATCTCATCATAAAAGGCTTTCAGTTCATAAGCCACAGGAAGAATGGAGAGAGTGTATTTCAGAAAATCATTGTCTGGTGTATTCATGAACTCGTTGTCTACAAGATACTGAAAAATATTGTACACTGCAGAGTGTTTGAGGCATTGGGCAGGCACAGATGGGCAGTTGGAGCTCACAGTTTCATTTCTAGAGAAATCTGGGTACTTACAGTCAGGCTTCAGAGTCTGCTTCAGAAAATAAGTGGAACAGTTCCTCATCAAGATTTTCACCTTCGAGACATCATCATCTGTTATCATCTGACACGAGGTACGGTTGTTTAGTAACGCGACGTAATTTCCAAGGTTCCAGCTGGAATAACACTGTGTTGTAGACCTATCGTTAAATTTATAACAGTATGTCGTAAATGATGGGCTTGAACGCACAATTTTATTGTCCATGGTACAGATGGTTCTTAGTTTCGGTGCATCAAACAAGTTCTCTTTTGGATCTAAAGCTTTAAAGACGAACACCATAGACTCAGAAACGACATCATAGAAAGGCGGTTGTAGTGAGCCCTGTAGTTGCTGTAATGAGCGTCGTTTGCGCTTTGCTGGTGCTTGACCTGTTTCATTTCCGACTTGTGTAGACAATGACGTCCGCAAGGGCGATGAGATGTTTAGAGCTTTAACGAAATTCTCATAAGTTGAAATCTCGTTACTCAGTTCTGTACCTCTGGGTTCAAATCCCTAGAAGAACATAAAGCCACATTATTAAAAACACATTGTATACCAAAGTATTCGTAGCAAAAGTTTTGATTTTAAAAGATGTCTTATTTCGGTCAAGGTACGGTCGACCGAAATAAGATGGATTAGTGCCAGGCTGGGTAATTTGCTTATCGCTACGAGTATGAATTTGTACCCTGCGGACAGGCGCAAAGGGGAAGAGAAAGGGAGGAGAAGGTCCCTGCACGCGTGCAACAAAGAAAATCGGAGACAAAACTTACACTGGCAATACCGCAAAGTTTGGTAGTGTGTGCTTCCTTGCTGTTTTAACTTGAAATAGGAGCTGTCATTCTCCTTCCCAGAGCCACTCAGCCTTATTTGTAACGAAGACCTCGTCACTTCAAAACCGTTTTTGTTTAAGCTCCCTTATATCTTCTTTTCACTACAGTTTTATGCCGGTAACCCAATAATGGCTTAATTACTAGTAATAACAAAAGGTTAGGGAACGTCGTCGAGATCGATCAAAGGACAACAACCCTCTTGCCCCAAGGGCAGACGCTTTGCTTTGCGAACGTTTCACGTAACAGAACGTCGTAAAGCGCTTGGTCAGATTGCGTTTTATGCATTCCATTCATACCAATTTGGAGATTAGGATTGCAGGCTCCTCTGGTCTCCCGAAATTAAAGTTACTTACTTTAGTGGGATCTTGAAAGTCAGGTAATGGAGGTGCTCCCAATGCCGGTAGAACAGACACCATTGTAAGGACTGTACAAGTCACTGGAATTAATATTGCCAGGCACAGAGCAATAAAATCATGTCTGGTAAACCTAATTGGAAAATAAAATTCCTTAATATTGGAATGATACGCAGAGCTGCTGGGAGAACTGATCTCAGTGTGCGTTCGGGGTTCCCGCCTTGTCCCGCCAAGAAAAGATTTTGTTTTGGCCATAAACAAATACTTTACCATCCTCGGAGACCCAGGGGCAGATAGTGGGGACGAGGGAAAGTCTAAACGGACGGAAAAATATGGCACGAAGAAAAGTAAAGAACGACGAGAAGAGCCCTGGGGACAATGTCTTACCAGACCAGTTCCAAACGGTCGCCGCCGTTCTGGCTTCCGATTGGTGCCGGAAAACTTGTGTTTTTCTGGCACCAATCAGCAGCCAGAACGGCGGCGACCGTTTGGAACCGGTCTGGTAAGACATTGTCCCCAGGGGCTCTAGAGTACTAAAGTGTGACGTCATAAAAATGAAATTTCTGAAATTATGGGATTTGTCAGGATATTCTGAAAGAACAATGCCCAAGAGGCCTATTTGCCAAAAATGAGCATTTCTGGGCAAATTGTCCCTGAGATCGTAGCCCAGTTATGCATAGAAAACTCCATACAAACCCTTCTAAATTTTTTTTGAGTTTAACCGGCTAACATCTCAGAGACAATTTGCCCCGAAATGCTCATTTTTGGTAAGTAGGCCTCTTGGACATTGTTCTTTCAGAATATCCTGACAAATCCCATAATTTCAGAAATTTCGTTTTTATGACGTCAGCACTTTAGTACTCTCTTCTCGCCGTTCTTTACTTTTCTTCGTTCCATATATATTTTCCGCCCGTTTAGACGTTCCCTCGCCCCCTTTATCTCCCTGCCCCTGGGTCTCCGAGAATGATACTTTACTGACAAAGTTTGTTCGTCCACATGGCTGAATATTGACCTCGTTTTGCTTTTGCGTTTTAAAAACACTCAAAAAGAGAACTTGGCCAATATGGATGTATCTTGCCCTCACGCTCAGTTAATAATGTATTGGAAGAAAGAATGTTATATGACAACCTTCACAAGGGTCTTAAGTCTACGACTTGAAATTGTAGTGCGGTATAATATCCTCACTCTTTTAAACATCTTTCCGTTGTTGTTCATTATGTAGTTCTTATATTTAAGGGCCATAAGGCCCGGAACAAACGTCAAATTTCACAGGTGACGAACCTAACCTAAAATGAGCAAAATATATTGTTCTTCGATCGTTTATTGGCATTAGGTGGGAACTTAAGTTTGCCAGAAGTTTGACGTCTGACCTTGGACTAAGAGAGAGCGCAATACATTATTTAGCTTAATACAGGTGTATACATATCTGTCGCAAGAGTTAATCATACGCCTTACAGCAAACTCAAAAAGCGCCAAAAAAGAAATATTAATTAGTCATGCAAATAACGTTTCGATATTTGATAATCTTGAAAACAGTTTCGCAGATAAGTATAATACTTTAGTTCTGACATAAGTTGAGTTGAGAGAATTAAGTTGAAAGGATGTAAATTGTAAACTCTTTGAAGATGTTTTCGTCTTCATTCTTTCTGAATGTAGTGAGTGTGCCTAATTTATTCCAATTTAGCCTTTTTCAGTTGCCTTTTTAAATTCTTTTCTCTGCCAACGTTATTGCAATTAAATGTCTATCGACCCTTCCATCGATTTATAAGCATCGTATCTCCCCCACTTTCAGCTTAAATAGTAATTTATCCAAAAACATGATAAGTTTTTTGTTTAGCTGGATCTTAGCACAGTAGATGCTCCCTCAATAAATTATAACTATCATGGGTGTATCGCGAAGTACTCAAGCCTTTCTGAATAATATTGACAAATCAACCGAGGCCTGAAGCAGGGCCACGCTCCTCTCACTGTACTCTGCTTCCAGTTAGAAAGCGTTCTACTACTTCCATGTAATTCATCGTTTATAAAAGAAGACTCTGGTGAATTAATTCTTGGAAAGTTGCAAAACACTTAACAAATTTTTAAACAACATTTCCAGTCAGGGATATGTAATGACACCACTTAGGGGAAACCATGCAAGCGTCTTCTTTCCACGCACAAAGCGCAAAGTACAGTCAAACCCCGCCTTACGGACAACCGCTTAATACGGACACCTCATTATTAAGGACATTTTGCTTTGTCCCTGGGGAAAGAAAGCCCGGCCTTAGACTTTCTCTTAATTCGACCCGCTTAATACGGATACGGACACTTTCTATGGCCCCCTCAGTGTCCGTATTAACGGGGTTTGACTAAAGCCTGCAGAATAGGTGCACTTTTTTCGCGTTTTGGGGGGAACGAACCACGAAGCGGGTGTGCAGTGCGAGACACGTGCCTCTGCGCCTTTCCCCTTCGCTCGCCTTATATTAAAAACGGAAAAAACAAGGTGTGTTCTGCAGGCTATGCCCAAAGAAACAGAGCGTAGAACTCCTACATAATATTCCGAAAGCTTTTTCAACTCTGATCATTGTCCTTATTCTTATGTCAGCATCACTGACTGAGAAACTGCCAATTTCCAACAAAAGGTAAAATAATTTTCTTGTATTCTTTAAGAATAAAAAGACCCAGGTACTACATCAATTGAAGTCCTGTATGTTAATGTGACTCATGGTCTGCCTTTCGTATGTTTGTGTGCTTTATCTCTTTTGACTTGGCGCATTGTTCTTCAATATCTATTGTACTTCAACTCCTTATATTGCTCAACCTTTACACTTTCATTGTTTTTACAGTATTTGTATTCTGCGGTTGTTGCTTATAATTACATTATCACTTCAAATGGTGATGGAACAAGTCTTTGGTCTGAGCCAACTAATATGAAATATCACACGTTTTGTCAACTTCCCATGTTTAGAAACATCAGTCATTCGTTCTGCTTACAAGACTCATTTGCCGGCAACGCTTTTGAAAGCTAAATACGCTTCATAAACTTTTCGGACCTTTAAACTGACTATTTTGAGGGTAGAAGACTCAGAAACTCTTTGTTAGAGAACAATCTTATGCCCAAAATTTACCGATTGCTTTTTCCTTTAAAGTTGAACTAAACCAAAACGACATTTTCCTTAGTCGAAAAAAAGGCACTCAATTTCCCCATGTTACAAATTATACTGAGTTACAGAAAACTGAGCGCTCATTTTATTCGAATAACTACGAACTTTAAAGGTGGGTTTTGGGGTCGATTTTGATCACAACAAAACCACTATCTGAAAACGTGCATTACTGCTCCTCAAAGAAAAGCAGATCAATCGTTCAACAGTACTCATGAACATAGTACCTTTGCTTGTATTTATTTCTGAGAGCTTACATTCTGCTCTTAACGGCACAGATAAGCGCCGAAGCCGTACCTGTATACTGATTTTCAAACACAAATAACCTGTTCTTTCGTTGTTTAAATTCGTAATGTTGGCTCTCAAAAGCTACAGTCGGGGGCACCCAACGAGACTGGATAGTTCAAAAACACTTCAACATAGCATTGTTAAAAGTATTTTGTATTTAAACGGTAGATATAGGCATATTTTTATCCCCTAAAAATTTTTCATCTGTTCGGATTTCTTAGCTAAAGTATAGTCTAGTCTTAACTGTTCGAAAATTTCAGGCAGAAAAAAGGTTCCCGAAAATTCTAGGTGACCTTTTTAGGTTAAAAATCGGTTAAAAATGGGCAATTATACCATTTTTTAGATGTTCGAAAATCCCAGGAGAGGCAGGCAAGCAAGAAATGTTACAACAAATGTTTCGAAAACTCTAGATCTCAAATCGTCTTCCGAACAGATATTTTCCGAAATTGACGTTGAATGCCCCTGTACAGTTACATCGTGTAGCATGCAGTAATTTTGTGCTTCAATCCACAATGTTATGGCCAAAACAGTTCTTGCTTGATTGCAACCGTTTCTTTGAAATTTCTAGCCTAGATATATGACCATAATCCTACCTCAAATTTGGCGCGTAACTTGTTCTCACATTTGCCATGCTCTTTAATTTGTTGCTACCTGGGCAGCTGCTTTGGGTTTTTAGTCTCTGTTGACAACAACATTGGTGCGTTGGATCATGAGGCAAAATTAAAAGGAGCACCTGATGAAGACGTCATATATTCGTCCATTCGTCATAGATTGTTTATTGCAATAATAATAACGTGATCTCGCACACGAACGTGTTTCACTGATCTGAATAACAAAAGAGAATTATTAAGTTAAAAAGACTGACCCGATTTGGGGCGATTTCGATTTCGATATATCAAAATTCATAATTGGCAACGCGACTTAAGAGAATGAATAACACAAACTAATATCCGTTAATTCCCAAAAAGTGCACAGCCTCTTGCTGAATTTCCGAAAATCGTTTACCGCAAATTTCCATTTCGGTCAAGTTTGTTAACGGGAATTCATTTTCGCTTGAATGACTAGCTTGTGAAACTGGATTTTTCTGATTTTTGGATTTTCAGGGATAATTTACCCATGAAATTTCCTCGTCATTCGCTCTCATTTTGAAATTTCCGTAAATTTTAGTCGACTCCCATCCGTAATCTAACCGTGCCGATATATAACTTACTAATAGAAGTTCTGAGGTGTAAAGGGAATCTACCCAAGCCCGGACCACACCCGAAACTTAATAATAGTTGAAATAAAGAAGGCAGATAGAAACCCTTACCGGCTTAATCAGTAAAATATTGAAGATTCGTTCCGTTTTCTTCTTTAATTATTATTATATTATAAGTAATATTATTACTTATATTGAGGTATTTGGTAGCCTGCATAGGCTAGGTATTTAGGGGAATCTATCCAGGTCACGTTTTAGTGGAGACCAGTGACGTACATGACTTCAGGGATCTAATGAGTAATCACATAACGAGCTCCTAGCTACATTACTGTCAGGGATGGCTGCCCGCGTCAACGTACAGACCAAATTCGCAACAAGCAATTACGATTAAGCCGTTGATTAAACACGGAATAGAGTTAGGCTACGTTCACACGGAC